TCTGAGCATAGTGCGGACAATGAACTTTAATAATTACAGGTTTAGAAGGGCAAACTGACCATCACGAACCAGAACTTTTATTTCCTGAGCATATTTTCCCTCTGCTCAGGTGATGTCAACACAGAAGTAAAAATAGTTACTCTTTAATTGTGTATGGATAAAAAAAGATCTCATCCACTGTCACTAGGGAAAGGCAGGTTTTGTGCCATTCTCCAGCTGGTCCTTAACAAAAAGAAGTCGACCTAAACATGGGTCAAATGAAGAACGAACGTCACAGGGACATACTGTGCAGTTTAATCAAATGTATAATTAAACTCAGCAGTTATCAGACAAACCAACAAGACCTGTGATATTATAATCAGTGGCAGAAGAAACACTCAATTTTGTTACTTTTTTTGTTACTTGTAACTAAAAGTACAGATACCGGAGCAAAAAAAAACTCAAGTAAAAGTAAAAGTATCACATGAAAAAAATTACTTAAGAAAAAGTATTAGTTTAGTACGTGTTTAAAAACTGAAAGAGTATAAAGTTAAAGGATTTAGCACAGATTTTGAGATCTAATAAAGCTTCATATGTAGTGACTTTGATACAAGTTTGTGCTGAACAAAAACAATTGAATCCATAGTCCTAGCTGTTTTTATTGGAATATTTTTAATAATAATAAAAATAATAATAGTAATACATTTTATTTATTATACGCCTTTCTGGTTACTCAAGGTTGCCTTTTGTTTGCTCAGAATACAAACATGTTACAAATAAAGCCCTCAGGCTTTGCAGCAGGTCTGACACAATAATAAAAATACTTTTACTTTTCAGTCCTGTTAAACAATGTAGTACAGTAGAAAGTACAGATATCTGCTCTCTAATGTAGTGAAGTAAAAGTAAAAAGTATCTACTTTAACATATACTTAAAAGGGATGTAACGATATCCAAATCTCACTGTAAGATATTATCACGATATGCATTTCACGGTACGATATTTATTGTAGTATTTTGGAGAGGCTGATATAATTGTAGATAGGACACTTTTTTGCTTTTAAAATACCTTGACAAGATTTTGGTGTGAATTATTACTGTCAGAATCTCAAGAATTCAAGTAAAAAACATATTTCTTCATGTTGCTTGTACTGAAATGAATCATGGGATATGTAGTTCCCGATGTTTATAAGCTGTTGCTACTGTAAAACCATGCATTTAAGCAAAGGAACTTGTGATTTGATATATTGTGACAGCCTATGATATTATTGTGAGACTTTTGATGATACGATATCAAGATATTTTGGCTATTGTTACATCGCTAGTACTTAAGTAATGTAACAATACCTAAGATGTGTACTAGTAGAGTACTTTAATACTTTTACTTCATCACATTCCACAAGTGATTATAATGCAAGTGACATCAATAGCATCTGTTGACAAGTGTGCAGAACGAAGACCCAAAGCCTGTGGAGTGGATGTGGAGAGCTCTCAACCCTCAGCCAACAGCTCCAATACATTTCCCATAGGCTCTCATGCCCCCATTGAAACACCGGTTCGTTATTATGTATGAAATAATGGCTAATTTTGCATCAGGATTTGACAATGCAATACTTTCCACTGTTTTTCACTCTGAAGGTAGTCCATTTGGCACGAAGTGGGCGGTTTACATTAGAACATTTGAGGCTAATCACTATATTCAATGGTGTTTAAATTAGCGTGACCACGAGCAAGCCTTTGTATAATGATAATGTCATGATCTCATGGTGAGTGAATGCAGTGAAGCTCAAAACAGGCACTATTTGGCCTCAGGAGGACAAACTAGATCCAATAGCTTGTGAATTTTGTTATGCGTTACAAAAAGTATTGTATGGATATTTTTAAACTTTTAGCATAAAATCTGTAGCATAAATTTTTGGCAAGGTTTGTTTTGATGTGGACAAACCAAATGCATCATTGATCAGCTGTTAAGCCTATCTAAGCTCTTGGCTGGAGAGGCAAGCAGCACCGCACGTGTACTGGAGTTGTTGCTGATTGATGAAATGAGTTCCTGATTCGTAGTTCCTGCCCAGTTATTTGCCCTGCATGTTGTCTTATTTATCATGCTTTCCTTTCTTGGAATACTGTCATTGTTTAATAGGGTTAGGCATTATAAGTACTTTTTACTTCAGCCTAAAACCTTTCGGTCATGATCTATGGCACAGTTTCCCCCAACTTGGGGGTCACCTTGTCACAGTCTACATGTAGGTTTGCAATACACAGTTCTCCGCGGGTGGTGGGCCCACATGAGGACGGCCCCACATCGCTCCTTCAGGCTGAGCCCGGCTGGGCCCAATGGGGGAAGGCCCAGCCACCAGGCGCTTGCTGGCGAGCACCCATCCCAGGCCTGGCTCCAGGGTGAGGCCCCGGTGACCCCAATCCGGGCGACGTAACTGGCCTTGCTGGTATACTCATCATAAGGGGCTTCTGAACCCTTCTTCATCTGACCCGTCCCCTCAGACCTGTTTTACTTTGGGTGACCCTACCAGGGACATGAAGCCCCCGACAACATAGCTCCCGGGATCATTCGGGCACTCAAACCCCTCCACGACGATAAGGTGACGGTTCAAGGAGGGGGCGCCTGATCTAATGTTTTTAATAGTTTCAAACTGGGGTAATACTAAATGTTCAGAGAAACATGATCACTCAGTCAACAGTAAAATGTTCAATAATGGTCAAATCCACATTTATTTTGTGATTTACAAATAATGTCTATTGACTTGGGTCGTGAAGGTTTGTGACTTTTAAAATATGGGTCCCCAGAAAAAAAGTTTGAGAACCACTATCTATGGGGTTGTAGTCTATGTTTCGTTTTGTTTTGTAGTGCTGCTTAATGACCGAATAAACTACTACTACCACTGTGGAGAATGTGGCCATGAAAAAATCTATATCAGTTGATTGTTTACTATAAACTTGTAAGAGAGCTGTGAAGTCACTTTTGGTGCAGTTACCTCTTTGCACTAAAGTGTTCAAGTAAAGCTCTATGTGTATTCTTTAGGCAGCAGTTCCACCAAAACTGCATATTGGCCTTTGATATCAATCTATCTCTAATTCTTACATTCTCGATTTGTAATGTATATTTTATGAAGAGTGCTTTCAAATGGTATTGAGCACTTTTCTAAATCTTATTGCCATTTACTCATTATAAAGTACACTATGTCGAGTAAAATAACTGGCATTCCACAGAAACCCTTGTATAACCATTTTTCAGGTGTCAAGCAGGTGTTTCCTCTTGAGCCTTGAGATGCTTTGTCATCCTCTACAGCCTGTACATTATTGTGTTCACTAAGGAAAGGGCATAAATCTCCTGTCAACTCCTACACACATGTTCTGTTTAAGTAGAGAAGAATAGCAAGCAGCAGGCTGTCAGTCAAAATCATAATATATTTTGGTGCATTTTCAATACTTACAATATTGTTTCAGCTCTAGTTGCCCGTGTAAATTAATGTTTGGTTACAATGACCACGCAGACTTCAAACTTTAAGTCACAAAATCATAATATTATTGTTTCTTTTGAGACAACCTATTCAAATTTGTGGTGTCCCTCAAGGCTCAGTTCTTGTGCTCATGTTCTTCTCTCAAATTCTTTCTGATTAAAAATGATTCTAAATTGATTTCACATATAAACACAAACCTATTTTTTAACATAATAAGATAAAGCTGTTTTCCATATTTCCAAAGCTATTGTTCCATCTTAGTGCATCCTATGAACTTAAAAAATACTTGGAAGCAAATCAATGTCAATCTGAAATGAAGTCATATTCGTATATGTATTTCTGTATAAATCTTTTTACATATCAGATTTTTTGGACTATAAGTCGCACTTTTTCATGGTTTGGGTGGTCCTTGCGACTTATACTCCGGTGTGACTTTAACACTGACAGCTGCGAGATGGTGCTGTAGGCTTGTGTGTCAGTATCTGCTGCTTCTTTTATTTATGTACCACTGTCACTTCGCACAATTGCGCATGTCTCCTGCAGAAAAAAACATTGTCCTGCTACAGGTAGTGAAATCTGCAGCCAAAAACGGTATGTGAGCAGCAGAAAGAAAGTTTGGGATGGAGAACACAGCTTCACAGCAACCAGGTGGGTGCACCATCCAACTTTCCTGGAAGTCATTGGATGGATTGACAAACTCTGGACTACAGTGACAGCTGAAACCATCCTGTTGGGATTCAGAAAAGCCTGGAACTGATACTGAGTCTGACAGCAGCTACGCAGAAGAGGAAATGGAGCTCCTTTTACTTTCAGAGGTCGCGGAGTTGCCATGGATCTATAATAATTTATTATAGTTCTATGGGAGTTGCTCAGAAGTGACACTGAGGATGAAGAATTCAATGGATTTAGTGATTTTAGTGATTTGGAGTGAGATGGAGAGTTTGGTAAACTTTTTATGTTCTGTTGTTTATGCTATAATTATCTGAAGAACTGTTCATATGTAACATTAACAGCCTGTTGTTCTCTGTTCTATTGTTATTACTGTAACTTGCTTTTCGAGATAAATGTCAGTTTCTGGTCTCTGATTTTATAAAATAAATTTCCCCCAAAAAGTGCGACTTACAGACTGGTGCGACTTATATATGTTTTTTTCTTCTTCATTATGCATTTTTTTGGCTGGTGCAACTTCTCTAATCCTGAGCAACATATAGTCAATATGGTACTATCGAAACTAAAACTGATCCAAATTTTACATTGTGCAGGACCCTGGTAAGACTTACTTTAAGACAACATGGAACCGTAACCATTCAGTAGTTAATTCACTTTGACAAGAAAAATATACATATCTTTATTAACACTCACAGTCACTTGGTCAAACAGTGGCGTATTTTGGGAAAGCGCTCAGGTGCGGATAACATTACAGACTCATTTCGTCTCCATACACTGAGCTCCTCCAGAGAGTTTCCCAATCAAAGACCGCAAGTGCACTGAGCTAATAACATTAGCGCTGGGTGTCCGCAGAGGAGTTTCCTGCTCTGACGGCGACAGGTCCTGGGCAGTGGAGAGGGTCACATAGTGCGTAGGATAATTGAGTTAGCATGCGGCGAGTGTGAGGGGGCTGCACTTCCCACACCACTCAGCATGTTTGTTCAGGAGCCTGTGGAGATGTTTGCCCTGCTCCCGAATATGACACCTCCTGATATGACGGCAACGTGCACAGGAACATTCCACAAGCACACTCTGGATTATGACCAGCTCACACTATGATCCCTATAGAGGAGTTAACGTGGACTTGGACTTAGACAAACTTTATTAATCCATGAGGGAAATTATTTGGACACAGTAGTTAATGCATCACAATGTATTATAATAACAAAGGCAAAAATATGAATGGTATAATAAGATAATAAGATAAGGCAGCAGAAATAACAAGAGACTGGGGTCAAATAAGGCATCATTATATAAATGTAAATGTACAAGTAACAATAAAATATAGAAATATAGTATAAAAATCTATCTCAACTAAGCTACTGTGACCTGCTTCCACTTTCTCGGGCGCTCAGATCAGAAAAAGTATCAGAAAATATCTGAAAAGAGGGAGCACTTTATAGTGGTTTAGAAATGTGAAAAACAACCTATACAGTGCCACTTTAGATACTATACCTCGCATTGCATTGTTCACTTACTCATACTGCTCTTTGTTCTACCTCTATAGAGCTAGAGAGAGAACATAAAAAAGACTGTTACTATGGTTTTTACATGTTTGAAACAGCAGTGCAAAATGCCCAAATGCATCAGTATGTTAAAAAACAGAACACAAACAACCTGAGTCATCTTAAAAACTTCAGTGGTTTGATGTTTCTGTGATATGGGACCACCAGAGGCAAAAAATACTCCAATAAAAAAATCAAGTGAAAAAATAAGTATTAAAGTACCAGTTTAAAGATTTTTATGCAGAGTTTAAGATCTAAAAAACTTCAGGTGTAGTCATAAATTTATCCTGAATTTTGTTCAATAAAAACTACTTATTTATTTTTTTATATGTTCCAAAGAGGTTAATTTCCAATGTTATATCGATATAAAGGTTCTTTTTGACAGACCAGACCTTGAAAGGTTTTAGAGGACAAGAAACACAAACATTGCATTAAGGAGGCTATTGACATCTGGAAACGAGCCCATAGGACAATAACAGGGACGAGGGGCCTATCAACTTTCAAGGACCTGTGATGCTGTCCTGGAGAAGCGGAACTGCAGATGGCAGCTGCATTTAGATGTTTTTATTTGTATATTTTTGTTTGCTCAAACTATGACCTTGCTAAAAAAAACATATATATACCCTGAGTTGTTTTCAGCAGGTGTCACACAATAATAAAAATACTTTTACTTTTCAGTCACATTTGCATCAGCAACAAGGACAGAACCCTCACTGTCTGTGAAGTGACCTTGTATATTTTAGTTCCAAATGAAGTGTAAATGAAATTTCATTATTTGTGCAACAATGGAAGGAGTCTTTCCGTATACTGAAATAATTCCGTCTTTTCCACTTGTTGGAAAACCAACATAGTGACTGTATAGGACAAATTGGCACAAATATACAGAAAAACTCAAATGAGGCCAAAAATATGGATCATATCTGAACCAAACAGAGAGTTATTGTTTCAGCAGGTCATGGCACTGCTCCACTGTAAGGAATAACAAAAGCTCTGGGTGGAAAAATCTGCATGTGTCTGCACCTCCAAGCTGCTTGACGCCCACAGAGAACGGGCTTAGACTTTAACTGGCCTTTAACTGGGGTTCAGGTGTTCTCATTATAGTTCGGTTTCATAACCACACTGTTCCCTCTGAGGTCTGGAGAGGTCTAGAGTGGTCTGGAGGGGACATGGTCAGCAGACTCTGGCCCAGGTTCAGTTCTTGGAAAGTGGGGACAAGCACAGTTTTAATTACATGTTTTGTTGTTGTGTTGCTCAGGTGTACTGTTCCTCTAACAGCCCTGCACTTATGGATGTGTTTTTAACAGTGTGCGGCGATGGAACAGTGCACTTGAATAGTGTTATTGACTGGCACATATAGAATCCTTGAATTATTTTTATGGAACTTTTTTCTCTTTCACTGAGCACTCAAAACAGATATTTCAGATATTTGCAACTACGCCCACCTCATCAACATTCTGGATGCGTATTCCCGGTACATGTAGTCAGATATTTCCCAACACTGTCAGCATGTGGTGTGGAGTGATATCAGAATTTGACACGTAAATAAAAAATGAATCCTTTTTTTTTTTGCTTTCTCATATGTCTCAGTATCCTACCCACTTCAGAATTGTATCTCTGCGTAACTGTGATAAGGAGTTTTTATACTGTACACACATTTGATTGGATGAGTTTTTCAGCATTTGAAAACCTACGCTTGCTTTAATACCGTTGACATTGCGAGTATGAGTTGAACATTACACCCTCGACTGCAGCTTTCTCATTAGCGCTGACACAGACTATTTACTGGACTGGAGCACAACTGTAATTGCCCATATGTCACGGTTGGTTGGGCCTGACGACAGTGTACACGCCAAAAGAGACACGTGCCAGTGGGTTGTTAAGAGAAGCAAACGTCTACAGACTGGGCGACGGATACAGTTAAACACCCTATACTACGCTATTCTCTGATCTACAGTGTGTTATAATGTTGTTTCCTCATCAAAAACAGACCTGGAGTTGTGTTTTGTTTCATTCACACATGTTTTACACACAAACCCTGCACATTTAGGTTCTTCTCTCAAACTGAAAACACTCTGCTCTACCTTGTGATATCATGTGGTTATACAGGAAGTGCTCCATTGTTTTTTTAAACTCCATAAACCTTCACTAGAATTGTTTGGATGATTTCAGCCCTTGAATTTTAAATCTCTACTGAAATGAAGATTAAAAGTCACCCTTAACTTGAAAACAACCGAAGATTTTGAGATATAAACAGACTAATAATAGACCTTTTCAACGCTTTTCTAGGGCAAAATATCTGTGGAAATGTCTCACGTATTTTCCACCAGCTTCATAAATCTGCCCCATGATCAAATCTCCATCCAAAAAGATCCACAAAGGACATATTATGTTCATGAATAATTTATCCACAACTATCAAGGTAAAAAAGACGAAAATGTAAAGGCGAACCAAGACTAGTATTAGTGAACTACTCCTGAGCAAAACTAATGTTATGCTCATGTATAAAACATAAGTAATAAGTCATTCATTAATAAGTCATTCATTAATAAACTCTGGTCAGATCTGCTCACGTTACGTACACGTTTACATCACATACATCACCATCTAGCATCACCAAGTAGCCGCGTGGCATGCATACACAATTAAATTCCACACACTTTTGCGTCACCGTATGCACGCAGATTTCCTCCCAAAAACTCTCATCTAAACGCGGAATAAAAGGTGAAGAGGTGACACCACTTTTGCGTCTTTTGTTCAAACCATCATCATGTAAAGAGTCAATTTTGCATAAAATAGGATCTTTAAAGATGGTTCAGGCTACATGTGTGATCTGTGAACGTTAATAGGAAAAAGACACCTAGAAATCACATTACACGTGCTTAATTTAAATGGTATTATTACAGAAAGAGTGTAGAAACTTGATATGGGAGGAGTAATGCGGTTTGGTTTTAATTGGATTTTCCATGATAAAAAGGTTTATTGTGAAATGTATTTGAATTTATAATGCAAATTTAATCATGTCTTATCTATTTCAAAGCACATGGGTTAATTGTGGATGAAAAAAATGTGGAGCAGTCCCAGTAGGGTTTGCATAGACAAGGAAAAGTGATCACATCATGGACAAAGAATGACTGCCATAGCAATTACTGATTTAAAACAAAATACTATATCTGACAGACAGCTGAAATCCATAAATACAACAAGAAATGCTATACATAGACATGAACCAACAATGTATTCTAATATAATGTCTCTTGAATACTAAAACATGGCCACATATGCACATGCACAGTATAGCATGTGATTCTAAACAAAGGAATTCAATTTAGACAGACAATAGCTGCGAATGTGATCCAGCCAATATATATATGTGTGGACTAAGCCAAGTTACAGATGCAAAACAATGAAAGAACACTACCACACACTGAATTAATAATATTTACTGCCAAGTTGCCCTAGTTACACAGTGGGAGGCACAAACTATTCTAAGACGTGTCCAAAGAAATAATGGTACATCTGCAGTCCACTGTGACTTACCACGACTGTCCATCCTCACCGTCTGAGCTTATTCTCTCGCAGAAATCCAGACTACGCTCCAGTTCTGAACCAAATGCGAAATAGCAGAGTAGGGAAATATACTGTCTAAGAAGATATACGATTAGAATATATTAAGAGTTGGTAAAATATAGAAAATCCACAAATGTTATGTGACAATTCTGCAATTTTGGGTTATTCATTTGCATTTGTTTGGTAACTTTTCAGGTGGAGGGTCCGTCAAATGCTTTCTCCATGTCTGGAATGTTTCACAGTATGGCATTAAACACTTTTTATCATCATGGAGACCAAACCAGACCAAGGTACAGGTCAGATCTGTGGAGAGGCGACCCCGCTTACAGTAAAAATGCCTGTTTTTCTAAGTAGTTATGACCTATAAACCCACCTGCAATTGCATAAGTGTAGAGCTTTTTAATGTCATACTGTGGGACATTCCAATGACATATCCATAGAAACAAGCAGGTGACGGGCCCCCCAACCAAAAAGGTACATAATGCAGTTTTAACGAGACAGTCACACATTTCTGCTAAAGTGAAAACAAACACTGTCTGATATAAATGTGGTGTGATAGTTTAAGCATATATTTTTGACATGGCAACCAGGAAACTAGAGCACATTTTCACTTTTGCTTCCCTGACCTCCAAGGTAGCTGCTTACTGCTTCCTACTAGCGGTGTAACGATATCCAAGTCTCACGATACGATATCATCACGGTATAAACCTCACGGTACGATATCATGGGAAAGTTCACAATATGGTGGGGAGGGTCATGATTAGGGATGTAACAATATCCAAATCTCTTGGTATGATATTTTCACGATATGAACCTCAGGGTACAATATTTATTGCAATATTTTCTGCTACTTTTTCTTTTTAAAATGCCTTGACAAGACTTAATGCAAAGAACTAAGACTATTTCTTCTTGTAGTCTGCACTGAAATGGAGCAAAGGATCATGGTCTATGTAGTTCCCTCTATCTTTTTTTAGTTACTGCAGCACC